AACGATTTTATTTTTCCTTCATAAATATCCCTCAGAACAAACAAAAATTCCCCCAGCGGCGTAAAATTCCTCAATTTTGGGGTAAAATCCCCCACTATAGCAACCCTGTTATCCACGCCTGATGTACATATAGTTTCGATCCCATGCGCCCGCAGGAATTTTTCTCAAGGTTATTACATGTTCGTAGCTAATTTTTTTCTTCAGAGGGGTCAACCTGCTTGACGTCATTTTTTTCATTGAAGTCTTGTTACCTTATCTGACTAGACATTAAAGCCCCGGCACTACCCGAGTAAGAATCCATTCACATTGTTGTTGTATCTGCAATTCATAAGGATTTTGATGTAAAAGTCTGTTTACAACTTTCCGAGCTGGTAGCTACAAATACAGGGTGTTTCAGTTTATTGTTGCATAACTTTAAGATTCGATAGAACTTTTAAAATTAATGCATAAAGTCTATACAGGGTGTTTCAGTTTATTATTGCATAACTTTAAGATTCGATAGAACTTTTAAAATATATAAACATGGGTCGAAAAATGCGTGGCTTCCGAAATACAGGGTGTTTAAATTTACTTTCTAAAATAGTTTTTTTTAAATATTTCGAACAATATTTGATGTATAACAGTGAAAATTGGTATACAAGCGTTTTTTGGTACGACAAAACGAACCATGGGCATAGTTTTACTGTAGCATCTAGAGGGTGCTCTCTACTGTACCTGTAATGTATTAGAATGACCGAAAATTTTTTCTTAGTGCAATTTTTTGCTTTTTGAATAAAAATACTGATTCTTCGCACTTTTCTGCATAAAAAAGCTCTCTTGTGAGTTTTCGTTATAGTTAGCCGTTTTTGAGATATTTCGATTTTTAAGGTTCGATGCATTTTTAATTATTTATGGGAAAATAATATTTTTTTTACATTTTCGATTTGGGCATTACAAGTAATTAAGATGATCGTTTAGATTGTGTTTTTAAACACAGCGATAATTCCTAACTCCAAATAAACACAAAAAAACAGAATATTAATTTGTTTAATTTTCCAATATTATTTTTAACAAATTAAATTAATTATTTACAACTAAAATGCTTTTGGATAGTTAGGACAAAGATACAAAATCTAAAGTAGTTGCTCGAAATGTAAACCCAATTGTTCAATACACAATTCACATCTACGAATGATCGAACGTGGTATAGCATTATTCAAATAAGGCCTTATTTCATCACATGCATTCCTGATTCTGTCTATTAGCATATCTCTTGTGGTTACGGGAGTCTGGTACCCTTTTTCTTTTAGAAATCCCCACACAAAGAAATCTAATGGATTTAGGTCAGGGGATCGTGGAGGCCAGGCGACTGGTCCTCCATGGCCGATCCATTTTTCTGGATAATTTTCGTCCAGCCAGTTTCTAACTATTCTCGAATAATGAGCTGGACAACCATCAAGCTGGAACCAGGCCAATCTTCTTAAAGCTAATATACAATCATCCCACATATTTGCATGTTCAGCCTTTAAAAATTCAAAGAAGGTCGCAGCATTTAACCTTGCAGGCAAAAGGTAGGGTCCAAATAGTCGATTACGGTAGATACCAATCCACACGTTCACACTAAATTCATACTGAAAATTTCTTTCCCGAACTGCATGCGGATTTTCATGCGAACAAATATGTTGATTATGAAAATTTACCACTCCACGTCTAGTGAAGCATGACTCATCGGTCCATAAAACGTTACTTAAAAACTGCCCTATTATTATCAGTTCTATCAAGAATCCACTGACAAAATGTGATTCTTCGTTCTCCGTCCCCTGGCTGTAGTCCCTGCACAGGTTGCAAATGGTAAGGACGTCTATGGTCATTTCTAAGAACACGGTGAACATGGCTTGCTGAAATTCCCAAGGCACCAGAAACTCTCCTAACACTTTTGGTCGGATCTCTATCAAACTCTCGCAGAATCATACGGGTAAATCTGCGCTGACGAACATTTATGTTCTGATCCCTTTGGAGATTTCCAAAACCATTTTCAATTATTTGGCGATGCACTCTTGCAAATACTGAGCGAGTTGGATGTCGTCTGTTTGGAAATCTTCGTGCGTATTCTCTGGCTGCTTCTGCTGCGTTTCCATTTACAAAGCCATACACAAAATGAATATCCGCCAACTCTTGATTGGAGAATATAAATGGAATTTTTATAAAACTTACAAAAAAAAATAGGTAAAAGAAACTAAATTTCGTGCATTCACAATTGCAAAAAAACGTTTCAGGTTTCAACAGACAACAACACTAACTGTCAACTAATTGACGTTTAACTTTATTCTGCTTTCAATTTCAAAAATATTTGCAGGCACAGCCTACTTCTTAAAATTATCGAGATACTGACTTTTTAACGTTATTTTATCATAGATAATTAAAAATGCATCGAACCTTAAAAATCGAAATATCTCAAAAACGGCTAACTATAACGAAAATTCACATGAGAGCTTTTTTATGTTGAAAAGTGCGAAGAATCAGTTTTTTTATTCAAAAAGCAAAAAATTGCACTAAGAATACACTACAGGTACAGTAGAGAGCGCCCTCTAACGGCTACAGTAAAACTATGCCCATGGTTCGTTTTGTCGTACCAAAAAACCCTTGTATACCAATTTTCACTGTTATACATCAAATATTGTTCGAAATATTTAAAAAAAACTATCTTAGAAAGTAAATTTAAACACCCTGTATTTAGGAAGCCACGCATTTTTCGACCCATGTTTATATAGACTTGCATTAATTTTAAAAGTTCTATCGAATCTGAAAGTTATGCAACAATAAACTGAAACACCCTGTATAATTTTGAACGTAACCTACAGAGATGAAGATTTTCGTTTATGTGGTATACTGGTCGGTTCTACCATCTGTCAGAAATCGTGATCACAAAATGTGCTTAGGGTATAGCTAGAGGTAACAAACGCGCAGCAAAAGAGAGCGGAACCCTTTGAAGCCACAATAGTCAATGAATATTGTAGAAACATAGCGTGCTTTCTTCGTTTGTTTTCAACTATAATGTGTTTACACGCCAATAGACCGCGGCATCAAAATAAGTAGTGCTAAAGATATTATTATCAGTGCACGCTTGATAACACTGCGGTACCTATGTTTTTATTTCATTTTCAATGTTCGTTTATTTTGTTGGCATTTATACTAGGACATCAAAACAGGTGGCACGAACAAATATTGTTATCAGAATATCGATATTGTTTTGGTGATCACAAAATGTTCTAAGTTTAAGTTTTGCGGGCGTAGGTAACAAGTTCATAGCAAAACAACATCTGAAAAATAGCAGTCGATAACTACAGGACCTTTATTTTGTTTGTGTTCAACACTCGTTTGTCTCCCTTGCTCCTATACAGGGTGTAAACGTTATGATAGTCATGAAATGGGTAATAGAAGGCGATCCAAACAAGTCAAAAAGTTCATATGACCCATGGACCAAAAGTCAATAGATTTTTGTCTAAACTATAAAGTTACAACTTTAAGTGCTTTATATCGACCACAATCTTACTAATTTTTATAATCTAATCTAAAACGTTTTTAAATTGAGTACATAATTAACAAACAAATGGCATTACGTTTTTCTAAGTTAAGCCAAAATTTGTAGTCAGTAAGTTTCATTAAATTAAATATTTAAAACACACATGACAACAGCGCGTCGGTCATTCATCACTCTTATCGAACCGGCAATCGATGGCAAACGGTAACAGTGGTTAGTTATTGTTCGCGTACGTCGTCGTGTTCATTTACAATGTTCTCGAATCAAGAGTTCGCCGACATGTTGTTAGTTTACGGTGAAGCTCGTCAGAATTCAAATCTTTCACTCGTGAATTAGGCCGCTGCGGGAAAATTTGCTTTATCCCTACCATATACAACGAGTGCAGGCCTTGTTTCCAGAAGACTATCCTCGCACTAACATTCTGTCAGTGGTTTTTGCACAAAAACATTGAAAATCGGATTTTTTTAAAAACATTCTAGCGACGGACGAATGTACTTTTACGCGAGACGGGATATTACATTTCCATAATACTCACACGTGGGCCCAAGAAAATCCCCGTACTATTCGTGAAGGTCATTGCCAACAACGTTTTAAAATAAATATTTGGGAGGGTATTCTTGACGATCAGGTAATTGGCCCTTTCGAGTTACCCCCAAAGTTGTCAGGAGAAGGATACCTTAGCTTTCTAGCCAATAACCAACCAGAACTTTTGGAACATACCTTAGACAACATGCCATTACAACGGAGACAGAATTTATGATTTCTTCATGATGGGGCACCACCACACATTTTTAGAGGCGTCATTCAGTATTTGAATGAACATTATTCCAAATCGCTGGATCGGCCGAAATGCTCCTGATCCTCGAAAATGGCCAGCAAGATCTCCTGACCTCAATCCGATGGATTTCTGGTATTGGGGAGAACTTAAAGGGATGGTTTATGGGGCTGGTCCAATAACAACTGAAGCACGACTTCGCGAAAAATAATTTAATTCGACTGAAATAATAAATGGACAGCTTCGAGGACCTAGAGTAAGAAGAAACTGGGTTGGTCGTAATGAAGCTTGTGTGGAAAGTGGAGGTCGACATTTTAAACACCTTCTTTAAATACAAAAAAGTGCAGTGTGGGTTTTAAAAAGAAAAACAATGTATGTATCAAAATTGTGTTCCCTATTTATAAGTGGATTTTTTTAATTCGTTCAAATAATGAAATAATACCTGAGAGCCAAAAATAACAAACTCCATCTTTATTTACACTGCGTTCCGTGGTCATTCGCGTCTGGCATTGCGGCTTTGACAGAGTTTATTTTACTTAAAGTCACTTTTCTCTAAAAAAATGCTGTTTTGACCCCCATGTTATCTCTCACACAAATAATTACTATCATAACTTTTACGGTATCACAACAAGTACTTTAAAAAAATATTATTATCAAAGCAGGGTTGATAATGATAACGCTCCTCCGATACAATGTTTTGGTGGTCTTGTCGCGGTCGTCATGGAGGCAAACCGCGTGCGTTTTCTATAAGTTTCGCGTCGGAGGTCATCGACGATCAGTTTCGTTCACGTTTCGCTGTTGTTGGGATCGCTCGTGGTTGCCCGCCAAGCGGGAGCGCCCGCCGCGTCGATATTCACTTGTTTTGATGTGTCGCGCTGCGCGGATCATGGCCCGCCTTGATTGCCGATGCAACGGTCGCCCTCAGTGACACAAGGGTGCGCTTCGTACTTGGTGATTGGTGAAAAATCATCAGGCCAATACGCCAAGTCAGTCAAGTCGAATCGATTTTTTTGTCTTTGCCGTCAATTAGATCGATTTTTTACTGTGCTGTGAGATCTCACGTTGTTGTTTAAAGTACCTCCACTGAAGTTTGTCTTCAGGTAATAAAAAATAGGCATTCTAGACCATTTTTTAAATGACCTCCATTCAATCTGTTTTGTTCAGGAAGATGATAAAAAATGACAATGCTTGAGGATTCTTCCTGGAGTGTGTTTCATATTGCCAGTCTCATTAAAAGTGTAAAACAGGATACAACGTATTAATAAAGAACCAGGTCAAGAGGTGATTTGTTGGGCGATTCTAACAAGAAAAATTCCGATAGATTTGCTTCATTTTTGAGATGGGGGTGTTGAATTTTTTTTGAAGACTCATCTTTTCGTAATGGTAGAAATAGCACTTCGGCCAGTTTTTGTTGAAATTTGGTAGGTACAGCCGTATTAGCGAAAACTTTGATCAAGTAAAAAACTCATCACAAAGACAAAGAAAGAAGTTTAACGGATTTAAATCTAATTAGTGGTTTTGAAAAAAGAATTTTCTATTAATAATCTAATTTCTTCAGCGATCAGTTGGGAACAGAAGAATTTTCACATATTTGGAGGATTTCTACAATTTTTCCAAAAGCTATTATTAAAAAACGTCTTCTTACTCAACCTAACTTCAAAAAATCGGAATTACCTGACAGAAAAGTCGTTATCAATGTGAGCCAATTCAGGCCCAGTTTCATGTTACATGTTTTTATTATAATCTTAGTATTATCCATCTTCATAAAGTTTTTGCACTACAATATTTAACAATATTCTTTAATCAGGTTCAGTGAATAAGTGAAGACTCTCTTGAGGGTTCGACCTTGCAATGTTTTCGCCTTTGACTATTTTTTAAAAGCGTTGTTGCTTAAAATAGTAATGTATTTATTTGGTGCCCCCGGAATATTGAACGATTTTCTGGAAAAAATCCATACATACTCCAAATATATTTTTTAGCGAATCTTCATAATCTGGCTAGGCACTCAATGCTTGGTATTTTTTATATTAATTTTTTATTTATATTTTATCTATTCCTAAAAGTGATAAGATAGTTTGATTAGAGATATACTCAAGTCACCAGCACCTTGTCAGTAACTGTAACCCATGATCCAATTTGTAAAAGTTTGATGAAGTGTTTTGACCAGCAAGGCAACAAGAAGGTTCCGCACATTCAGTATTTTGACATATATTATCGGTCGAAACTCATAATCAGGTGACATCTGGAAACATTTCCGATAACTCCATTACCCTTCAAAAATATATTATAGCGTGTCTATCTCTTGTATGGATAAGGCGAATGTCACACAAAGACATATATGTTCAGTGTCTCTTACTATAGTAAAAATACGAAAACTGAATGCCTCTTTATCATCAAACAATACACGCAGCCACCACAAAAACTTAACAGAAAAACCTGACCATTTTATCACTTGTTCATGGCAAGATAAATCGATATGTAAAAAATTCTTGAATCTAATAAATATACGTAGGTGTTTTTTACCACTCAGTATATTTAATGACGGTGAAGCCAGGACGTCAGTTATGCTAAGTTCAAATGCACTGAAAACCAAATACCACTGACGTTGTAATGTATACGAGAGACAAGTGCGAGAAGCGTACAATACCTGCGTTAGAAAGAGATAGAAACACCTCGTTGTCTAGCAACCCGAGTGAGGAGGCCACGGACGCCATCGATGCACTCTTTCTGACATACATATTGGACGCTTCTAGCGCTTCTCTCTCGTACACGTTACGTCGTCAGCCATATTTGAACCTCACCAGACGCAGAGTCTCTCAGTAAGCGCATCATCTGAACGAACCCTTATTATTGATGCATAAGATCTGCTTTACAGTGGATTTTGGTTTTAAAGCAATATGATCCAGAACTGGTCTAGAAACGATGCATGTCTTGGTGATGAGTTACTCTGAGTAATTCAACTGGTTCACTGGGAAGCTGTTAAGACTACGTAGAAATTCACTGACAGTGATTGAACGATCAGTGAATTCTGATCTGTGACATTCGCCTGATAAAGAATACTCAATTTGTGCTGTATTTGTTTAAGAGAGATGTTGTTCTGGCACACCCCAATAGTATTTTGCAAAGAAATCCAATTTACTAACTATTCGTTACAACAGTTTGAATGGAGATCTTAGCATGTCATTCTTTGACTATCACACGTTCACACAAAGACAAAATCGATTCGAAGCACCTACCTGATTTGACCAATTTATCAATTCAGGGATTCTGTAGTCTGTGATAGTGCTTTGTCATCACGATGGTGGCCAGCGGCGAGTTGATCTGCCTGCAAAGGCAAGATTGTCCCTGCGACGAAACGAAATTAAACATCAAGAACTCTAGCAGTGACAGTAACAACAACAATCTGGATACCAATTTGAAACTCATGAACGGGGTTACCGTTGCCAATGACGGTAGAAGAGTTCAATACAGGTTGGTATATCCGTTTTCTTACAGTCTTCCGGAAAAGTATGTCTTGTTGCTTGCATTCGAACACGTAAATACCGTAGTGGCATTTTGCATTGGCGCGCCCATGCCAGCGCGGCATCTCTTTGAATTGTCAAAGGCGGCGCACGCCATATTAAAAGGAATGCCGCGTTAGCATGGCCGTGCGATGTGTTTTGCTTCTTCTTTCTCTTCGTTTTCGGTACCCGAGTATAGCGAGTATGGAGTTTTGAGGTTCTATAGCGGTAAAGTAAAGGAAAACTGCTGCGGTTGTATAAAAAGATCTTATATGCAATCGCATCGCGACGTGAAGATGAAACATATTTCTTGAGCGACACAAGTAGCGATTTACCTCAGGGTTACTGACCGGGATAGACGAAATGGTAAAACGAAAATCGTATTGTATTTCCAAATATTTTGAGCAACCCTCGTAGACGCTCTATTCTGGTTCTATGAAATTGCGGCGTGCAAAGTATGAATTTTATAAATACGACTTGTGACCCACATAGACTCTGTTTACCAAAGGACATACCCACGTAATGTGAGCTAGTGAGGTCACTAGGGCGCCCCGAAAACTCGCTTTCGTTACGGTATTTCTTGAATACAATAAGCTCACCTTATTTAAAACTACAGTAGTCGATAAGACGAGGAAATCTATCCCACTTCTGACACAAAACTTAGAATACTCAAGAAATAATATACACGGTGACTTTGAAGTTGAGTCATTAATTTTCAGATAATGATTGTAGAAGGAAGATAAACCAAAATATGTGTGTAACAATAAAAAAAAATTAAAAAAAAAAATTACCTTGTTTTATAAAGTATCCTCCCGACAAGTATTTCAGTGCGGACCTGTATTTGATCGTGAGGTCTTGGAGCACCGGCATGCCGTCACCTGATTCACGAGCCCGTTGTACTACATTAACAAAGGCACGAGGGGTTGGTTGCACTCGATTGGGAAACCGATCCGCATAAACATGTGCCATTTTTTATTTCGTTTGAGCCACGCAACAGACACCACTATTCACTGACACTGACTGTATACAAATGAATAAAATAATTGTAAAAACATCGTTCCAAATTCTTTCGCTTTTTTGTTTCCGATGCGATGAACCGATACGGCGGATTATATCCGTTGTCGCCAAACACGAGCACATAATATTACTATTGAGACAGGGCGGTACTCAAACTTCCAAAGGGCTATAACTTTGTTACTTTAATTTTACCAGAAAAATGGTAAAGGAAAAAACATTTCTTTTGATCAGATCTACTCACTGTTAAAATAAATGACTCAACTTCGAAGTCACCCTGTATAGTTCTTTTCATGGCTTTTACGTCACAATGCATTACAAAATAAGTAGACAGATTGACAAATGGTACTACGAGCGTGGATTAACTTACTTAAGCGAAATTGTACACTGCACAAGCCTTTGCGTAACCCAGCTGCTACTCACTCTTGTACACTCACATGAATTGGGTGATAGAGGACCGTTGTTATCACTCATTTTCTGAAAATCCTTCTGATGCAGACTGATTTTATGGGTAACCATAAATCTCATGCGCATGTCCAGAACTTTGCTATACTCGCAGCAACAAGCGTAAATTTGGAAGACACATACGTTGTCAGTAAAATTTTCAAGGCGGTGAGACAAAACTAAAAAACGTATGTCTTGGAGTTTACGAAAACAAACGTCCTCGCATAAAGGCCGTTTGCAAATGAATGTGTGAGGGAGATATACAGTAATGGACAAAAGTATATAGACAAATATGGATATTTACCTAAATACCTTTAGAAAACGAATTCAGACTTCATTGCTCCATAAACAAGTGAGTTATGAGTAGAAAAACTAAATTCCATGTACTTACATTATCTGCAACGAACACAACACAAGTCTGATTATAAACACTTTTTTATGAGGGACAAAAATATGTAGACAAATTCTTTTCAACATTAGTTTAGTACAGTTTCGTGTCAGAAGAGGATTAGTTTGTATTCATCAAGTATTGTGGAATAAGTTGAGTGATTTTAAGACCTTGCCGCGTGGTCCAGAAATTTCTTTCCATGTGAAAATTAAGATCATTGAGTTATACAAAGATGGTCAACGTCAAGTCGACACTGCCAAAAATTTGAAGCTAAAGCGTAAAGCAGTTTGTGCAATATTGAACAAATATAAACAAAAAGGTATCTTGCAAGCCTCTAAGAGAAGTGGTCGGCCTAGAAAACTAAATGCTAGATCAGTTAGATCAATAAAAGTAATTTCGTACAAAGATCCGTTTAAAACCCCAACAAAATGAATTGTCAGTGTGTCTACGAAAACTATAAGTAGAAGATTAAATGATTTGAAGTTATTTGCACGTCGCCCGAGTTTGCACAGTTGCAATTTGATTGGAGCATCTGTGACTGGAAGAGGGTATGTTTCAGTGACGAATCCAAGTTCAATATGTTTGGATCAGATGGTGTTCATTACGTTAGACGTCCTAGTGGACAAAGATTGAACCCCAAGGACACTTTGCCCACTGCCAAACATGGAGGCGGGTCTGTTATGGTTTGGGGGTGCTTCGGGGTTTGGGATGGGACCTTTACATAGAATAGATGGCATTATGGATAAGTTTGTATACACAGACATACTAAAGCGTCATGTTACCCTATATGGAAGACAATATGCCCTTAAGATCAATCTTCCAGCAGGATAATGATCCTAAGCACACTTCAAATCTCTGGATGAAAAAATACCAGTTCTCAAATGGCCTTCACAGTCTCCCGATATAAATCCCATTGAAACTCTATGAGAATACTTAGAAACGCAAATACGAGATAAAATTATTCAAACAAGGATGAACTTTTTGCCGCTTTAGAGCAAAAGTGGAGACATATTGATGAATCTTATAGTATATCAAGAAACTTCTACAATCTATGCCGAGACGATGCCAGGCGGTGATTGATAATAATGGTTATGCTACAAAATATTAACACAAAAATAGTTGGTTTTCTATAATTCAATGAACTTTGATTGTTTTTTCTATAGTCTTGCTTTGTCTATATATTTTTGGCCTTTAGAGTTCCAGTTTTTTTCAATTAATTTTGTATTGAAGGGAATCTAATGAATTTATTTATGTATAAGTGAGTATTATGCTATAACGAATTATGTATACAGGTTGGTGTATTAATGAAACGAAATACAGCACAATATTAATTTGTCTATATACTTTTGTCCATTACTGTATATATATGAACGTTATTCCTGTAGTTTGACTGTGACCCGCCTAAAATCGCAACGATACCTGTGGATGATAAAAATGAAACGCTTGTAATATACAAGGTGTCCTCAAAAACTATTTAGTCTCCCGAAATACCATGCCGGTTCGAAAATACAGATTTCTAAAGGACTTACTAGAATTCGGTCTTTCTTCAACATGTTAACAGCATAGTAACCAGTTGAGGCCGCAAATGATGGCGTCCAAGGAAATAATTAACGCATTTGCATCAACAGGGATGGACTAGCCCTAACCCAATCTGGCTTTGCTCTCTGTACAACAAAAACTGTTTCGATCAGTACTTAAAAGCACGTATCAATACAAGATTAAATGTTGAACTAAATGGTATATGCGGGGTTCTTGTCTTCGAATATTTTGGAACATGCTTTAAACAATTTTTTTTTCTTTTACTTTTACTCTACTTTATTGCCTTTAAAATTCCAAAATTTGCAGGTTTTGCATTTTTGTCCTAAATTGACACATTTTCTAATTTAGCTTAAGCATTTTCATATCAGCATCTGGTCGCGACACTTTCTACTTCAAATCTATAAGAAAATACACTAAGACACAAAACATATATAAAAATAAAAGTGTGGCTCTACTGCTCTCAGATTAAAAACATAAGTTGAAGTCTCATTCATCATCATATTTGTGAATTGATTTTGTTTCATCTTTTGTTATTAGTGTGAGCGCAGGGAACAACACTTTTATTGTTATATTATATGTGTAAGCATACACAATATTTTAGTCACCTTTCTTCATGTGAGTCACCCTGTAAAAGGGTCGCGTGACACTGGGAATGCTAAGAAAGGCACTGCTGGCATACGTTAGGTTTTTCCCAGAAATAGGCTTGGTCCCGACAACCCAGTTCTATCGACCCTATCTCTCGCCAAGGAAGAACATATCCCCTGTCGTTACGTTATTAAGCAAGTGGCTTTGAAATTATCCTGACATTGAATCCCTCGATAAGTTGTTTATGTACTACCCTTGTAATGAAAGTGAAAAGGTACAGGGTAGTGCTTCGCAGCGCTTGTAAGCTGGGATCGTTGTTTTCTCATGTTTATCATACAATCATCTGATCCTATACATGTTTTGCGTTTTCGTGTGTCTTATTACAGATTTGATATAAGATGATGACTAAATAACTATACAAATGAATAATGAGAATTGAAACGAATGGTTTTACTATTTTTTCAAATGACTCATTCTTTATGATTGGCTCATTGGTGATAAAAGGCACAATAAATTATAACTTTTGTTGTGATAACGTCATGGCAATGTGGGTAGCACAAGGTTTTTTGTATTAATGCTCCATACTATCAGCTAGCTGCATAATTGCTGATAAGCGCCACAGGTATACGTATAATTGCATGCGTAATTATATATTCTCATTGGAAAATATCTAATCAACTCTAAAATACGCTATAAAAATGCACGCTATGTGTACGTTTCATGAAAGACCTTGTTCCTCGCGAAGGACTTCAATTTGGATATTTATTATCATTGCAGCACATAATATAGTACGAGCTACGCGTTATTGGTATTTAAGTCTATGACGTGTAACGGTGTAAATAATATAAAATCCCTATTTTTTATGAGGAAGGTATCGATCGAGATGTAGTCCAAGAAATAGGCGTAATGATATTATTAATGGGGCGGTGTAATTTTGAATCGATCCTTTACAGGAAAATGTAGTGGGTTGAGGTTTTGTATCATGCTTTATATTAACATCG